TCTCTCTTTAAAAAAAATTGTCAGATTTTTGTAAAAGAATATTTTTTTGTAACTAATTGGTAAAATTATGGATTTATTACATGAATTAAAATTAAATTTATAATCTTAAGTTTTCTTTTTCTATTTATCTTCAGATCATGGATTGGATATGTCTACTTCTGGATGCTAACTTTACTGTTGTGGTAATGATACCAGAAGCAAAAAGGCTACTGATAAATCTTTATAAGTTTGTGAAATCTCAGGTTTGTGACTTTTTTTTTTTTTTAATTTTTTGTAGTTGTAGATGGACAGAATGCCTTTATTTTATTTGTATATGATACTAAGGATCAAATCCAGTGCCTTGCACATGCTAGGCAAGCGCTCTGCTACTGAGCTACGGTCCCAGCTCCCAGGTTTGTGACTTTTTTATATGTACTAATTCTATTTGTACTTCTATTACAATTTACTCTTAAAATTTGTTCATGGAGTAGCTTGGATTATGTATAACATGTTCAAGGTCCTAGATTCGCTCTCCGGCACCCCCAAAAAATTTTTTTACCAGTGAAAAATTCATTAATAATCATAGAAGACTTGCTTATTTATGTAGAAGTTATTGTAAAAATTACTCTGGAATTTCTTTTCTTTAGATAAGTGTTTATTCCGAACTCAACAAGATCGAAGTCAGTTTTCGAGAGCTACAGAAGTTAAATCAAGAAAAGAATAATAGAGGATTATATTCAATTGAAGTTCTGGAACTCTTCTGATATTAGCAGTTTTCCTTCATAGGCGTTTTATGTGAACTCTTCCTAATCATCCAGGCAACAAATGTTTTTGTTGTTGTTGTTTTGTTTTGTTTTGTTTTGTTTTTTTGGCAATCATCTCTCAATGTCGAGAGAAAAGTGTCAGTGAGTATCTGGATGATCACGTATTGCTCCTTGGCAAGACTGCAGGTTTCACATGAACCTACTCTAGATTGTGGACAATTGCTGGGGAGAGGGTCTGAAATTTTTTAAAATATGTGACCTATCTGATTTTAAGTAAACTTATTTGTGTATTGATAAAAGTCTAATTTCTTATTATGTATTTTGAATAGTATTTCTTTGAATTAAAAAAAAATCACTATTGAAGCAGTGATTATAGGAAGGTTAGCTTAATGATGAAAGTCCTAAGCTGTCCCAGTGACTTGGGAGATTGAGGGAGTTTGAGGCCAGCCTTGGCAATGGCAGAACCTTGTCTTAAAATAAAAATAAAAAGAGAGCCAGGTACAGTGGCACACACCTGTAATCCCAGCGCCTCAGGAGGTTGAGGTAGTAGATTGTGAGTTCAAAGCCAAATTCAGCAGAAAAAAAAAAAGAGGTGCTAAGCAACTTAGTGAGATCTTGTCTCTCAATAAAATACAGAATAGGGCTGGGGATGTGGCTCAGTGGTCAAGTTCCTCTGAGTTCAATTCCTGGTACCCAAATAAGTAAATAAATAGTGCTTGCTTCCATGCAGTTCAGTGGTAAAGCACCCTTGAGTTCAATCCCCATCCCCCTACCCACACAAAAAAGAACTGTTAGGACTTATAGAATGACTACCATTTTAATTTAGTAGAAATTTTTTTTTTTTTTAAAGAGAGAGTGAGAGAGGAGAGAGAGAGAGCGAGAGAATTTTTAATATTTATTTTCTAGTTCTCGGCGGATACAACATCTTTGTTGGTATGTGGTGCTGAGGATCGAACCCGGGCCGCATGCATGCCAGGCAAGCGTGCTACCGCTTGAGCCACATCCCCAGCCCAGAGTAGAAATTTTTAATTGCCTTTAAATACTAATTACAAATTAGGTTGCATGTGATGTGAAATACTAAATTTAGAAATTAAGATTTTACCGTGCGGTGACGCACACCTGTAGTCCCAGCAGCTTGGGAGGCTGAGGCAGGAGGATTTCGAGTTCAAAGCCAGCTTCAGCAAAAGTGAGGTGAAACCCTGTCAATAAATAAAATACAAAATAGGGCTGGGAATATGGCTCAGTGGTCGAGGGCCCCTGAGTTCAATCCCTGATTTAAAAAAAAAAAAAAATTATAATGGCATATAGAGACTCTTGATTAGATAGGTAGAATTCTTCAGTAGTTTTTTGTTCTAGAAAGTAGTTCATTTGCATTCATATACAGGCAGTATATCCTTAGAGTATGTGTTTTTGTTGTTTTGTTTTTTGGTACTAGGGATTGATCCCAGGAGTGCTTTATTATTGAGCTACATTCTCTTTGAGACAGTATCTGATTAAGTTGCTGAGGCTGGCCTCAAGCTTGCAATTCTCTTTCCTCAACCTTCCAAGGCCCTGAAGTACAGGCATGTACCATTGCATCTGGACTCTTGGTTGGTGTTTTTTTTGTTGTTGTTGTTTTGTTTTGTTTTGTTTTTATTGTTTTGTTTTATTTTTATTGTTGTTTTTAATACCAGAGATTGAACCAAGGGCACTTAGGCACTGAGCCATATTCCCGGCCCTTTTTTATATTTTATTAGAGACAAGGTCTAGGTGAGTTGTGTAGGGCCTCACTAAATTGCTGAGGCTGGGTTTCAACTCACAATTCTCCTGCCTCAGCCTCCCAAGTCACTGGGATTACAGGTGTGTGCCATCGCACCCTTCCCTCCCCCCAAAAAAAAATTATATCAAAGGTTTGTTTCTGCTTGGTTTGGGGATATCCCCAAAAAGCTTATGTGTTGAGGACTTGGTCCCTAGCACAGCAGTATCCAGAGGTATGGCTTTGGGAAATGGAGAATGAAGGATCTAACCTCGTCAATGGATTAATCCATTTGACAGATTAAAAATCTGAATGCACTTCTGGGAAAAGATGGAAACTAGGCAGCTAGGGCATGGTTGAACAGGTAGGACAATATTGGCATGCCCTTGAGGCCCCTTCTGTCAATCTTCCTCTCTCTAGCTGCCACGAACTGACAGCTTTCCTCCACTGCACCTTTTCACCATGTTTCTTTTTGAAGCTAACCAACCATGGTCTTAAACCTCTGAAACCATGAACCAAAGTAAATCTTTCCTCTCTGAAGTTGGTCTTACTAGGTATTTTGGTCACAGCAAGAAAAGCTGACTAACATAGTATCTATATAATAATAAAGCAGTTTTTCTTTAAACTGAAGTTTTCCTTCTAGGAAACAATTTCCTGCTGTGAGCCTTATCTGTTTTCTAAAGGAAATGTGAGCCAACAGCATTAATTGCTTTTTAAGTTTAGGTAATTTTGTTTGCTTTTTGCTTCCATGGCTGCCTTTTTGTAAATGTTTGCTGACTCTAGCAATAGTGGAGTCCATTATGAGTCATATATAGAACTGCAAAATAAAGATAGACTTTGGGCAGGGGTACAGCTCAGCTGGTAGAGTACTTGCCTCCATGTACAAGGCCCTGGGTTCAATCCCTAGTACCACAAAATAAAGAAGAAAGAAAGAAAATGAAGATAGACTTTTTTCCCTGCACCTCTTTTTTTGAGCAATTTAATTCTAAAAATGTTGCAAGAA